GGAGGGGTTTGCAGGCTGCAGCCCTGGAGGTGCCCACAGGCCACATGGCCCCACGCCACACTCCAGTGACAGGGTCACCTGCCACAGCCAGCTCATCGCCCAGCGTGGCCCACAGGCAGCAGAGCCAGTGGGATTGCTTTTATTAGAGGTGACATTCCAGCTGACGGAGCTGGAGGATTCTCAGTGGCTTCTTGGCTCACTCAGGAACCCAGAGCGCTCACAGCTCTCGAACAGCCCTTGGAGGCCAATATTCCGCTCTTTTCTAAGGATCTCTTAACAAAATTACACCCTGAGCGACGAGGCTGCTGTCCTACGGCAGAGCAGGGCACCTATTCTGCACCTGCCAGAGGGAATAAAAATACATCGCACTTCCCACACTCCAAACCCCACAGCGCAGCTCTGGGGAGTGGTGTGTTGGTAAATTAGGGCAAGCTATGCTTCCCCTCCCTCCCTCTCCCCCCCGTGAGCATTTGAGGGTTCCTGTTGCCTGCGTGCAGGGGACAGATCAGTTACATTTATGCAGAACATTGCAATCTGTCAATATAAACACTATGTAAGCATGAGCCACTTGTAACATTACTACTGTCTTGACAAGTGTTTGCAGAGGGGGCAGAGCTGCTGGGATCCTTCTGCTCCCAGGGGGAAAGCAGAGCAAATCCCAACCTGCAGGAAAACACTTCTTCCAGTAAGAATTAAAAAATAAATAATTAAAAAAAAAAAATAAAGGTGCATTAAAAGTGAGTCAGACTATAAATCAGAACCTGCAGAAATAGAGGGGAGTTGATTTATGGCCTGGGTCACCTCAGATCCACGGATCAGGCAGCTCAGGAAAGCAGAAGCTCCTACGTGCTGGTTTCCCTTCCCACCAGCATAGGATTGAAGGTCTTCAGCCACCCTGTCACCCCAGCATGGCTAATCTTGTCACCTGCCACTTCCAAAGCCCTGAAGTGCAAGTCCCAACACAATTCCCAGATGCTGCTCTGGCATTTCCACCACCCCCAGCCACATTTGAGAGAGGAAAGGGAGGGAGGGGAGGTGCCCACGCCCAGAGCAGGGAGGAAAGCTGAAATGCAATGCTTTCTCAGGGATCCCAGCAGTCTGGGACTGCTCCAAACTCCCCCCAGCAGCCAGTTGGAATATGGTGCAAATTAGTGCTCAGACAGCCCAGCTGCAGAGGCTGTGGCTGGACATAAAAGCAGCCTCACTTCTGGAGCAGCCAGTGCATCCCAGCAGGCTGACACCGATCCCGAGGCAATGCCTCCCCCTCTGGTGCAGGCTCAGCCACTCCCACAGCCATCCTACCCCAAAAATTCAGTCTCCATCATCATCATCCTGAAGGGCAGCTCTAAACGCACACAAAGCCAGCAGGGCTGTGCTCAGTTTTGCACACGTGTGCTTTCTTCTATCAAGAAGTTTCTTATCAGACAAGGTTTTGGAGCTGTAGCATCACCACATCCCTGCTGCCAGGCTCCTCCAGCTGTTTCCCAGCTGTTAGGGCTGAGTCAAACCCCTCAAAATCCATCCTGAGCAGGTGCCTGCAGGGTCTCAGCTCTGCTCAGTGCTGCACACCAGCATCACTGCAGGTGCTGCTGCTGGGTAGTAACCCCGGGTCATGCTGGCACCTGCTCCAGGGAGGAGGGGAGCAACACCCAGGCTGCCAGAATTTCCATCAGAAAAAGAGAAAAATTGTCTCTCCCTCTATGAACCATCACCTTCTGCTCATCTCCCAGTCAGGCAGCTTAAGGATGGAGAATAAACAGCAGCAAGAGCCCACCTGCACCACGGCTTTAATCCCCCCACACACTCCAAACTCTGCTTCCAGAGGGCATATATCCTACTTGGCTGCTTGTGCATCCCTCCAAGAACACCAGAGCCAGCCTTCCAGGGAAGCAGCAGCCTGCAGCCGTGGTCTTCCCAGCCCAGCATCCCTTCCTGCCTCCCCCCAGGACAGCACAGACATAACTCCATGCTGACACAATCTCATTATCGTGTAACCGTGCCCCATTTCTGTCCCTGGGCACTAATTCCCCACCAGGCCACACATTTGGAGACATGGAATTCTTTCCCTGAAATAAGACATTGGGGCTGGGGGGGAAGGGATCATCCACAGCTGTCCCTATCCCCCTCCAGACTGTGGAAGAGAGCAGCCAAACTGCAGCCACAGCGTGACATCTGCTTAACACAGCCTCAGTCTGTGCCCCACCAGCTCCTCCACAGGGATGCCAGCACCCAGATGGGCCAGCAGGCCACCGAAAGGCGGCTTTGGTGATGCCTTGGACTCAAAAGGAGCATCCCTTTCCCTGCCTGGAGGGTGTGTTTTAGCTCAGCTGATGCAGCCAAGTTGTTAGGAAGGATTTATCAGAATGAGCAGATGTGCTGCCTCACCTGGAGCAGCTCCTTCACACACATAGCATAAGAAGGAAAGATCAATACCAGCGTTCTCAGGGCACTTGCAGAGCCACTGAGCTCTGCAGAAACATCCAGTTTTTACCAGATGAGATTTCTTTCAACACACAGAAGCCCACAGCAAGGAGGGCTCAGCTCTTCCACACACACACTCGTGGGATCTCAGTGTGGATTATCAGGACCTGGGATCTCAGCACTGGCTATTCCCAGTGTCCCCAACGGCTCGGCAAGTGCAAGCTCTGCTCTTGGAAGAACAAAGAGGAGATCAGCAGCAGATGCTGCTCCTTCGCTGGGGCTTTAACCAGAGACAAGGATGCTTTGCATAAGCAAACTCCACTGCACACCACAGCAGCCCTGGAGCACTTGGAGTGCACATCTGGCTAGGCGCACATCTGGCAGCATCTCCTCTCCCCTCCTTATTGCCAGGGAGGGAGTCTCAAATCAGAAACAGCAGCTGTACCAAGACAGAGAAAAACCCAGAGCAGTCAGGACAGACAGCAGACACTGCCCCGGGCTCAGGATGTCCCTCCTTAAGTAAAAACCTCTACAAGCCAAGGGAGAAATCCCAGAAGGAACTGGAACGAGTTACCTGCTGCTCTAGAGCAGATACCAGCACGGCAGGGATTAATAGAGGAGTTACAGCCAAGCTCCTTCCAAAGCCTGTCAGTCCCCACGGCACAATTCAGCTGCACAGTGCCGGTGGTCCTCGGCAGACACATGAGCCAGAGGGCTGGGAACAGCCCTCCACACACTGCCGAGGGAGAAATGGGCTTTTCCTAAAAACCTGCACACACAGGACAGGCTGTTTCCTTAGAAAATCAGCCCCAGCAGCAGGAAGTGAAATGGTTCTGGAGTTGGAAACAGAAGATGTAAGTAGCACTGCTTGGAAAACTTTGCCAGACCACAAGCAATGGACAAGCCTCAACACCAGGATTTGTTTTACTGGAAAGAAAGGGGGAAAACCTCAAGTCTGCTAAAACATTCTCCAGGGCTGGTCCAGTGGCTCCTACCAGTGGTCACAACACAACATCCCCGAAAAAAAAGAAAAGAAAAAAAAAAAGAAGCAAGAATTACCACTGCTGGGTAAACTTACACCAAAACCTTATACAGGTGTTCGCGTCCCACTCCCCTCTCAAACAGACAACGTTTTGGGACAAATGGTTTAAAATTAAGGACAAGAGGCTTCAACGCCCCATAAAGCACAGAGGGAAAAACCCGCACGGAGCTGAGGCGGCGCGACGCGGCTGCAGGGTGCCTTGAAGAGGAGCGGAGGAGCGAGTTTTGGATTTGGCTGGTCCAAGCTCACCGCACAGAGGCAGGACAGCGGGATAAGGGGGGGATAAAATCCCCGGGATCGGCGCTGGGGAATGGAAAGGAGCGGAGCAGGATCCACCTGCGCCGCGCCGGGAGCTCCCCCTGCCGGCCGCGCCCCGCCGCGCGCACAGGTGAGCGCCGGGGATGCGCACCCGCGGATCCCCCACTAAAAATAAACCGAAAAAAAAAAAAAACCCTCCGCAAAAAGCACCGCCAGCACCAGGACAACACCCGCCTGCTGTTGAAATGTGCCCTTAAGCTGCGGGGGAAAAGGAGTTTTCTGTCCCGTGCTGGACGGGCTTACAGCCCGCGGCTGGTGCGCTACAGGTCCGCTCCGTGCGCGTCACCCCGCGGGGAACGGCGGAACCAAGCGCTCCTTCACCCCCGGCAGCTCCCGAGGGCTCCTGACAGCCCCGTCCCGACCGGCGAACCCAAAGGGATTCCGGGCGCTCGGCTCCGAGCGCTGGGACGCGGGACAGCCGCGGGCACGGCGCTGTCGCTGCCCCTGTCCGGCTGTCAGAGCCCGCGGGAGGGGATGTCCGCACCCACGGAGCAGCATCCCCACCTCGGGCGGGACGCGCAAGGCGCAAAACCCCTCCAGCATCAAAAAATAAACTCGGGCAAAAAGTTAAAGAGCAGGAGCGAGGGGCACCTACCCGAAGTAGGCAGCGGAGGGCCGCGGGGCGCAGGCGAGCAGCCCTAGGAGCGCGCAGGAGGAGAGCCATCCCAGCAGGACGTGTCCATCCAGCATCTTGCAGCGGCGCCGGCGCTGCTCATCTCGTTCCCCCGCCGCGCCCGCTGCGGCCCCGCCGCCCGCCCCGCTTCTTATAGCGCGGCCGGCGGCGAGAGCCCGAGCGGCGGCGGGGCGGGCCGGGGAGGGGCCGCCGGGGGGGGAGGGACACGGCCGAGGGGCGGGGTGGCACATGGGGACACTCCCCGGGAGGAGGGACGGAGCGGCGGGGCGGGCAGAGAGCGGAGGAGCGGGAGCGGAGCGGGGGGAATGGGGATGCCGGCGTGGTGGGACGCGGCTGGGGGGGACAAAGGGGTGAGAGCGCAGGGGTTGGGTGGGATGGGCACGTGTGAGGAGTGGGATGTGTGTGCCAGGGATGGGCAGCAGCGCCAGGGCCGGCTGTGCGAGGCGTGGGTGTTCCAGAGGTGGGCAGTAAGGGCTGGGTGGTCGTGCAAGGATCGGGGCACTCGTGCCAAGGGTAGATGTGCCACATCTGGGCAGCTGTGCGAGAATCAGGCACTCGCGAAAGGGCTGGATGTGCTGCGGTGGGGTAGGTTTGCCACATCTGGGCAGTCGTGCAGAGGTTGGATGTGGGAAGGCAAAGGCATCGCACACCCGTGTGCACACTGAGCAGTGCAGGGGCAGGACACCGAGCACCCCGGGGAGGAAGCAGTTAATGCCCTAAATGTCACCTTTTCAGCCGGGCGCAGTGGCGGCGATTTTCCAGGTCTGTCGATGTCACTGTCATCGTCATCCTGGAGGTAATTCCAGCACCCAAGGACAGGAAGGTTCCCCTCCTGAGCATGTGTGTGTCACACTGCTGAGCCACCCCGTGGGGACAGAGCAGGAGGACACTTGGCTCTCATCTCATGTCCCTGGGGGTTTAAGCTCAGCCCCACAGAGCTGTGCCCAGCAGGTGACGTTGGAGTGCATTGTGAGCAGCAAGACCCTTGGGTGCTCAGAATGGGGTCATCGGTGTTTCTCACCCCTAGAATCTGTGGACAAATCAGTTCAGGAGCCACACAGGGGGAGAGTTAATGGGGATGAACCTTTTGTCCTGGAATAGCTCCTGGAGTGATTCTGGGAGCTCGGTGAATTTATTCTCACCTCTCACCCTTGGGCATTTCCATTCTTCCCAGCATTGTGCAAAGTGTGTGGATTCTGCTTATTTTGGGGATGAGGAGGGGAAATATTTTTTTTTAATTTTTTAATGCTTAAAACATCTCAGCCCAGTTCCTGACCACATTTTTGTCAAAACAAAAGCAGGCTTGTGGAAAATTCAAAACTTCCCCCATCCACCCGTGCATGGAATGTGGGGGCTCCCACTGTGGCTCTGCATTAGCACCCCTTGGGGTGGGGGCTGAAACTTGCTTGGGGTGGGTGTCACATCCATTCCAGCTTCCTCAAATCCACATGATTCATCATTCTCTGAGAATATCTGTTTCCTTCTCCCAGTGATTGGGGTGAAGCAGCACCGAGTCAGCCCCCTGTGGGTGCTGGGGGTCCCAGCCCCATGGGCCATCACAGCCTGGCAGAGACCAGAGCAATATTTCACTAAAGCCTCATCAAGAGGCCTTTCCTCGAGGAGAATTTGGGAGATAGGACCAGTGCCAGGGTCATGTTAAGTGTTCTTATCCTGCCACCCGAGCTCTTCCAGCTTGGGAAAAGGCAATGAAGGGCTGTGGGTGGAGGGCAGGACAAGCAATGTTATCACTGGGAGGCTTTGCCTGAGCGTTTCTGTGGTGGAAAAAGCAGTTTAAGAGTCATTTTCCACGCACATCCCCAAGGAGCTGGTGATCCCAGCACGTGGAAGGAAACTCCAGTTCCTCCAGGCAGCCCCGAGGCAGAGCTGTGGGTCATGGAAAGGCAGTGGGACCCTTGCTGTTACTCATTTTCTCTGCCCACAGCGAGGTGCCCGATCTGGGCTGATGCCCTGGGTGTGTGTGACTCTTTCCAAAGTGAGGCAGCACCAAAAATAGTCCCCACTTCTGCTTCCAGCCAGGGAAAAAGGGAAGCCCAAACAGGCACTGACTCCTCCACAGGGCTCTGCTGCTTGTCGTGCCTGGGGACCATGGATGCAGCATCTTCCTGGGACAGCTCTGTGGCTTTCAGGTCCTTCGGGAATCCCTCGGGTGACATAAATCTGGGTGTTTCTACTCAGAGCAGTGGCTTTAGGCGGTGTCCCCGCAGCCACCGACAGCAGAGGGCAGTGCCACATAGGCGCAGTGCCACGGCTTTGGAAGTGGGAATTTTTCTGTCCGGGATGGAGGGAACACGGCAGAGCTGGGGAGAAGCAGCCAAGCATCCAAGGAGTTTGGTGGTGTAAGTGGCAATTCCAAAGGGTCATAATTGTTTTCTTTGGGATCAAAATAAGCAAGGATAATGCTGGACAAGGAATTGTTGTCACCTCTGGTCTAGCGCCAGCACAAACCCTGTGTCCTCCCCCTAACCCCGACCCCACCGTTGTGTTTCTGGAATGTGCTCCTGCAGGCAAAGCAGCTGTGGGAGTGACCTGGGAGGATCCAAGTCTGGCATCCTGCAAAGGGTCCCGACATCCCATTCCCGGTGCCAGGGTGAGCCCTGTGTCCCAGTCCTGTGGGTGACACTGTCCCATGGCAGCTCAGGTGCCGGGATCTCAGTCAGCACTGCTGTGTCCACCCCAGGGGGATCCGGAGGGTGACTTCAAGTTTTCCTTCTCCATGACTCAGCTCTGGAGCAGGAGCCTGCCTGAGGCTTCCCCAGCCCAGAGGAGCCCTCACTCCCATCCACCTTTTTTGCAGGAATCCCAACGCATCGTCTGGTCAGAGCTTCCCTTCCCTCCTTAAAACTTTGCTCCAAGTGTTGTTGTCTGCAGTGCAACGCCACATTCCACACACCCTCCAATCCTTCCCATTGCAGAGCTCGGGATTCTGCCCATGGGTGTCTCTCTGCACGAACCCAACCTCTCCAGGGCAGCGACTCCAGCTCAGCGGGGCCATTGACTCACAGGAGGGTGAGAGGGAAGGAAAATACCCATGAGCTCATCTCGCTCATTCCTCACTGCCAGTCCTGCATGGATTCCCCACCAGATATTTGGCAGCGACTCCCAGGTTGGAGTAACCCAAGCAAGGCAGCGAGGGCTTGGGCTGGGCTGGGTGTCCCAGGATAGCTGAGAAGCCTCTGGTGGTGTTTCCTCCCGGCAGATCGCCTCCCAGAGGAGCCACTCACATTTCCCTTCCTCGGTTTCCTGAATTAGAAGGGGGCCTGGCATTTCTGTGCCCTCTGGACAGAGGCTGAAATAACAGATAAGAGCTGGGGGCGCCGCCTGCCCACGGGACAGCGTTCATTCCACTGGGATCACACCGTGCATCCCAGTTTATCCCATTGGGATCACACCGTGCATCCCAGTTTGTGCCACTGGGATCACACCGTGCATCCCAATTTATCCCATTGGGATCACACCGTGCATCCCAGTTTGTTCCACTGGGATCACACCGTGCAACCCTTCTCTCCTGCATTTCCACTCGCTCTTTTTTCACCATCATGAGGACTTCCAGGGTATTTCCTACCTTCAAGTGACCACACATGGGCTGGAAGACACATTCCTACTTTTTTCCCATCAGGAGTCACCTCGGTGACAGCTCTGAGCTCCAGCTGTTGCTGCTGTTATGCCTCCATCCCTTCCCTGGGTCAGTAATTCTGAGAGGTAAAAATGTGATCCAAACACGCCTTTTCCTTTCAGCTGGAATGCTGAGAGCCAGGCTGAGAGCATCCCTGCTTCCCCAGGGCTCTGCATCATGCAAAGCACTGGAATAAGGAGCAGCATGGCCCTGCTCCCCACTTTTCAAAGTGAAGAAAAGTCAATGGACGAGTTGCAGATTTATGGAAAACAAGAAGCAAATGAGAGCAGTTCTCCCAGTCTATCCATACAGAACAGAGCTGGATGGAGGCATGTGGGGGTGTTGGAAAGCTGAGTGTCCCCTGCTGCAGAAGGTGTGCACACACCAGCTTTGCCCTCTGAGATCCATCTGGGATCCCTCTGGAATCCATGGACTCGAGGCTGTTGTTATTGGGCTGCACGTGTTCAATTTTCCCTTGCTTCTCTGTAAATCTTCCCCAAAAAGGGCAGTCCTGGGGGAAAAGAATCAGACAGGGCAGCAAGGTGGTCAAAATGCAGCAGAGCCCCTCAAATCTCAACAAGGTGGAGATTTCCCTAAACCCCCCTCCCCTCAGTGATCCCATCCCGCAGCTGATTACAGGACACACAATAAAATACTTTGAGAGTATCTCATGCAAGAAGAGAAAGGGGCGATTTTTAGGAATTTTTTCCCTCTTTCCCTCTAATTTAGGAAGCTGTTGCTTCCAAGTTAACAGAAGGAAGCACCAATTCTTCACCTTTTTGCATGAAGTGACCTTGAGGTGGCTGCACAGACTTTCAGAGAATCATGGAAACAAAAAAAAAAAGGTTGGAAGGGAGCTTAAAGCTCATCCAGTGCCACCCCTGCCATGGGCAGGGACACTTCCCACTGTCCCAGGGTGCTCCAAGCCCCATCCAACCTGGCCTTGGGCACTGCCAGGGATCCAGGGCAGCCACAGCTGCTCTGGGAATTCCATCCCAGCCAGGAATTCCTTCCCAATATCCCATCTAAATCCACTTCTTCCAGCTCAAAGCCATTCCCTGTGTGCTGTCCCTCCAGGCCTTGTCCCCAGTCCCTCTCCAGCTCTCCTGGAGCCCCTTCAGGCCCTGCCAGGGGCTCTGAGCTCTCCCTGGAGCCTTCTCCTCTCCAGGGGAACATTCCCAGCTCTCCCAGCTCCAGAGCAGAGGGGTTCCAGCTCTTTGAGCATTTTCATGAGCCTCTTTTTCTCTCTTCTTGCTTCTATTAAGGTCCAATCCTTTTGTTCTGGCAACAAAGCACATTTCTTTTCACTGATGTTTCCAAGACCTGGAAAATTATTTTTTAAAGCACCTAAAAAGAGATATTTTTGCCTCCTGCTTCCATGCACATCCTTCCTGAGTTGTGCTCTTGCAAAGCTTTTTCTTCACTACATCCATACCATCAAAACAGTCCCTCTGAG